GATGGATTTATGATGACAGGGCTCTAACTTTTAGGTCCCACCAATGGTGAGTGAATTCTGGTAGTTCGCATCAAGTTTGAGGCAAATGGGTTGGTCCCGTGGTTAGTTTTTGTGGTTTTTCTCATGTGTAATGTGAGTGGGAGATATTTTCCTTTAGTAGATCCTGTCTCTCCCCTTAGAATTTCCATTGTCTCCAAAGGCAGCTAATTCTTGTGTGCTTTGCCATAGCCAAACTGACCAACAAATTACTTTTACTTTTGGAGAGCCTTCTTCTTGAGACACAGGATATGTTTATTATTATTATTATTTTTTTTTTTTTTCTTTTTTAAATTATTAGGAACCTTTTGGAACACTGAGCTACTGGCTTTTGTGACTTCCATGATCATGTAACTCTGTGTCTGTTTGGAAATCATATTATTGCTATTCAACATTAAAACCTGGAATATGTATATCTGGGATGTTTATAGCTCCTGTAATGAGTTTTATGATTTAGTTTAATTCAGTGAACTCGTCTGGCCAAGTTACTCAAGTGATCCACATAGATTCAGTTTTTTTTGGCACATTATGCTGTATGTTTGCAAGCCCTTTTATGGCATTTTAGATGTGACAAAAACGTGTCTTCACTGGTCTATGTTCTTTACATGATATTTGTACAGCTAAAAGTATATTGACATTACACATCAGTTCAGATCTTCACAGCATATTCATTAAATCAAAATCTGTATAAAATAGATAATTTCTTATAACATTTTCATCTCTAGCATATTATAATAACTTGTACATAGTCATTTATAAAGCCATAGCCAACAAAAATGCCTTAACTATTTCAGACATTTCAACTTGAACATGAGAAAAGGGGAAGTCTAAAACATAAGCAGTTCACTTAAGACTAAAATAGTCATCTCATATCTTGTCTCACATCTTTGTATATGGCCAGTTTTTTTTTTTTTTTTTTAAGCACAGTGTATGTCTCACATCTTTGTATATGGCCATAATTTGTTTTAAAAGCAGAGTGTATGCTATTATGTATTATTTATAATGAGATGTTCAATAGGTCCAAAATTAATTATAGAACAAATAATGTATGTTTGCACAGTTAGTCACACAGTGCACATTTTTCTGGTAGTTCATTGCTGAACTTATTGTAAGGATCTCAGTCAGGTGCTCCAGCATTTGCAGGTTGTATAGAATAAATTTTAACTGCTTTTGCAAAAATTTCCTGTGTCTAAGCTATAGAATGGAAAGGTCAAGACTGCCTTTGGTGATTTCCTTCAGTTTTGGTGGAAGTGCCATAAGTATATGCAACTTGTTTGTCAGCTTGGTGACCTAGGATTGTTTTCATAAGACAACATTTATTCATGAGACTTTTGCCATTGTGGATAGATTACCTGTTTAGAGGTGATTTTCTGGTGTTTGATTGAAATTTGCATTTACCCATAGTAACAGATTCTCTTTTGCGCAATTCTAAAACATAAAATACCTTCTCTGCAGACATAGCCATCATAGCCATTTTATATGGAGTAATAAAAGCAAAATGATAGAGAAAATAGTTTTCCTGCAGACCTTTAAGTTTTATTATATCATCTTTCACTGTACTTTCTTTATATAAATTACTGAAACTGTATACAATGTTTTTTAATAACATTATATTAAAGCACTCATATATGCAGAGCCAGATTTAGTCTTGATAAGTCCCTAAGCTATTTGAGATTTGAGGCCCTTTATAAGTGTGTTATAATATATTTTAATACTATTTATACTCTATTTTAATTTTTTGGGTTAAAGCTGTAGCTTGTGTAGCTTATACATAAATCTGGCTCTTCATGTATGGCTACAGTGTAGGATACGATCCCTGTGTGTGGGGGGGGGGATCTGTTTAGGAAAGTACCACGTTATTCACTATCAGAAAAATGTAAAACTACATCAAACTTAGGGGGCGTGGAGGTAGAAATCTGATATGTATAACATTTTAAGTCTTAATAACTTGGCAGATTTTTGGCGTGAAAGTGATTGTATTATGCAAAGTGCATGAGGAATTTTTCTAATAATGTGATTATTGAACATAGCTGATTTTTTGTCAGTATGCTTTTGAGGATTACTTTTTAGAAATAAATCGTTTAAGAAATTTCATCTGCAGAAGTAACTTCGGATCATACATGGACTTATGGATTTTTCAGGGCTTGCACTATAGAACATTAATTGAGATTCAGGTGCTTGAAAGGAAATTAACAGTTAGATTAAGATCAAGTGATAAAAGAATCAAATGTTCACTCTTTTTGATATATCTATAATATTCAGATGAGTTTTCAGCACTCAAATTTCAGGATAGTACACTGTAGCATTATTTTATTGAAAGATTGTATCAAAGCCATTATTTGTCACATCAAGCGAAGTACTTGAATCCTCCATGGTTTACTTGTGATAGTTCAGAAATTGACGCCTAATATTCTTTTATCTCATTTCATAAGAAATTATACAGTGGATTTTATATGTTGTCACAGACAACATATAAATTATGTCTACAAACAGTTTTGCTGTAGACTAATGTAAGAACTTTTATTATGTTATAGTCTGTGCTCATTATACATCGATAGTTATATTTTCCATTTTGCTTGAGAGAATTTTAAAATATTTATCATAATCTTGAGAGGCATTTTATGGTTTAATACGAAAATCCCAAATGTTATCTTTACTGGAAAAAAAAGAAAATAACAGCTGCATGGTATTTTCAGTTTGTCTGCTATTAAACTGATTTCACTGCAGGTATTCATATCACGCTTTTCTATAAGCATTGTTTTTCTCTGTAGAGACATTTGCTTTGCAAACAGCCATTGTCAGTGTCAACCAATAATATAGTAATGTTAAATTGGCTTCCACAACATTGTTAACTGTGTAATGATTTATATTTAAAATTTTACTATCAGTTTGCAAGCTTAAAATGGAATTCAATCAGCTAAATAGCATTTCCTTATTGCATTGTGTTTGAATATGGAAATTGAATGATTCTTCCCTTGATAGTTTTCCTTTTGTAATTTAAGACTAAACTTTTAATGCTTAAATGGATGCAAATTTTCTATATATTATATAGAGGGATGATGTTTGCAATGCAACTGACAAAGTGCTGAATCATAATTTTAGCTTCCACGTGCACTTTTTTATACAAAATTTAGATTTTAACTTTTCTGTGTGTCATATACGTTTTATTTCACTTCATACTGTACATCTAAAACTTCTTTAAGAAAATGAACTGCATTTCAGTTTCCTCTAAAAAAAATTGTTTTTTTTTTTTTACCTATTTTAATTTCCCTACCAACCTTGGACATATTCCTAAAAATAAAAGTATATTTTATGTTCATGCAAGCCATAAAAACCTGGATCTCTTTTATTATAATTCAAATGGTTGTACCTGAAATGTTGTGTAATCATTAATTTAATATAGCTTATTAGTTTTTATATTGAATTCTCATTAAAGTACCTAAATTTTTAAGAATTAAATCTCAAGAGGTTTATTTTGATGTATATTATTGGGATTGAAGGTGTTTCTTAACAACTGCAGTGTAGGAATCAAATTTTAAAAGTGAATAATTTGACTGTAGAAACAGTAGTGTGATAAATCTATTGTGGAAGAAATTGGTTTTTATAGAAGATAGCTTTTCTGTTTTTAATTTAATAAGTAATTAGTATATTGACAACTATACTGCCAGATGCTGTATGCCCAGATACCAGATATATGGAAGTTATTGAATGTGTTCTGCAGCTGCAGTTGAGCGTTGTTACAATTTTTCGTATTTTCTATTCTAGTTTTCCTGTGTCACTTCTAATTTAAATAAGCAAGTGTTTTTTATGCAGTTTTAATTCTGTATTCTTAGAATTTTTCTATGCTTTAAGCAATATGAACATATTTTATTTCCGAAACAGCACTTATTGTAACTTTGTAAGACTGTTCTCAGGTTATATTGTAATAATTTTTTCAGTCGCTGTATATGTTCCTGTAATTACTGGAGACTTTGTAAGGTATTTTCTCTCTTTTTATCTTCTGCATTCATGCTGTAATTGGAAGCATGTACGGCTGGCTATCGGATGATCCAGAGTTCTGAGCCTGGTGAGGGCATTATGGATTTATTTTTGTTTTTCTAACTTCAAAAAATTCTGTGGCCTTCACAGCGGCATCTGAACTAAAAAGGTGATGGATAATAATTTATCACCACCAGAATTTGGCAACTGGGTCTCCTCCTCTTAAGTTATTCTTTAAATAGAGGAAGAATGGTAAGGTATTTTCTCCATCCTTACCTCGTGCCTTCACGGTGTATCCGAAACACTTCCTTCTGGCAATTAGAAGGCTCATAGTTCAAACTCTGGCAAAGGCAGGGCACATTTTTCACATCTGCTGTAAAATAAAAATGCCTGATGGTTTCTACAGGTTTATGTCCCCATTATGTTCTTCGTCTAGAATTAAATACATATTGAATTTTGTTCGCGTGTGTACCTCACGGAATTATAAAGCAGAGAGAATTCATATCACAAAGTCTTCTACACACATTAATCAGTACCTTTCAGTAGTTAAAACTCTCATAACAATAATAATTTAAATGGATGTGCATAGCAAAGCAGGCATCAGTTTTCTGTATCTTAGCAATTATTTCTTTCAACTATTGACCAACATTAAAATAAGAAAATGTGTTGTGAAGACAGCTAACATTTAACAACCTGTGCTATTCTAGTTAGCTTTTGTTCCAATTCTCCTAACTTAAGAAATGAGTTTCAGTTTTTCTTTTTCTTACACACTTTTGGTGAAAAGGATTCAAAGGAAAAATTTAATGATGAGTTATTTAAGGTGAAAACTATCAATTTTCTTTGTTATTCAAGAAGATAAATTGCATCAACAAATAAAGTATTTATTACAAAATATTGAAATAAATTTATTTATATTTTTCATATATCTTAAGTATATGAGCCATACATATATATCATCATATCTGTTACATTTTCTTGAATTACAGTGTTGAAGTAATCAGATTTTGTCACAGCCTTTGGATAAATTGGGATGAAAAGATGTATTTTGCTCCTAAGGATGCTCCAGCCCGTGCCCGAACTACAACCTTGAATGAAGAGCTTGGTCAGATAGAATACATATTTTCTGATAAAACAGGAACTTTAACTCAGAATATTATGACTTTCAACAAAGCATCCATCAATGGCAGAGTTTATGGGGAACTCTTAGATGAAATTACTAGGGAACCGGTAGAAATTGATGAAGTAAGTGTTGAAATACTTATATATGATTTGTTTTTAAAGGCTTATATTTGATTTATTATGTATTTGATATATAAATGAATAGCCCATTTTTTTTAGGAAAACGCTGACCTTGTTTTGAAGTTGCAAAATGCTTATTGCAGTCTGTGAGGGTAATTTCATTGTCACTGAATTTAATGTATACCATAAAAAGGAACAAATTCCTTAGTATTAATTCAACAGTTTATATTATAAATCAGAAAGACAAAAGGAAAAGTACTTGACTATCTACTTGAAAATGCTAAATGTTGAAGCGATAGAATGCTTCTGGATGGATCCTTTTAAGGGTAAAGTTCATTGAAACATCTGAAAAGTTTCATAGGTAAAGAAATGTGTATTCAGTTCCAGTGAAGCTTTTAACAAAATTATAAACAACTATATATATAAAATTACTTATAAAATTATTATGCATGTAATGCTGTTTTAGCCTGAATTTGTTATGAATTATTTCATTTGAGTTCGATGAATCGTGACTGTTCACACTACCCTTGTTTACCTCTTTTGAGACAATGAGTGTTAGTACTTCTGTTGCTACTATTCAATAAACATTATAACTATAAGTGCACTATAACTCTGAATGTTTTTGCGATTTTGTTTTGTCGTCCATACAGCTTTTGTAAATTCATTGGCAATGAGTTTTAAGTTAGAAGAATCAAGCAACAAAGAAAAAAGTTAGTGACACATCACCACAGAAGTGAAAAAAAGAGGTTAATGAAAACAAACATTTATGCACATTATTATGTACAATACTTCAATCCTTAACTGCATCTGTATTTTAATATTAAACATGTTATAATAAAAACAATAGGATTTTTGTTAGGACCTTAAAAACTTTAGTTAGTAATTCTTCACTCAGAGTGTATAAAAATGACCCAAGAACCACTCTTTTATGATCCAAAGTTTTCCAAAAATAAATGCAAAAGGAAAGATTTGATGTTGCATCTTGTACATGGAAAATAACTGTATTAGGAATATAAAATTTTACTATGGATGAAAATAAAATAAATATTATTTTACCCATTCTTATGCTTAGAAAGTGAAAAATTTGAGATTGTTTCATCACTTTCTTTCTGATAGCTTTCTCATTTATTAGGCAAATGACAGATTGATAATTACTGGAAGTTGTTATTCTGACAGAAAATTTCATAATGTTGGAAGGGGAACTTGCTGTAATCTGATGCTGTTACGGGGGCCCACCCAGTGGACAAGCGGTAAAGTCGCTGGTCTGAGGTTCAAATCCCGCAAACGGGCTTTCACGCTCGTTTTCATGGTTTTCCCCATGTGTAATATGCATACAAGCCAGTTTATCTTAGAAAGTCTTCCAGGAAGGGATACTTACCCTTAGGCAGATAGCCCTCAAGTCTTTGCCGTGATTACGTAAATCAAATCAAAACATCCTGTTACAGGAAATTGCCATGCTCTGATGGATTGAAGTATATCTGGAGTTGAGAGGCAGTCAGTTCAATGTGAATAAAATACTGTGCATATAAGACATTATGGGCTTGTGAGGCTTTACCCATTTGTTATGAACTGCAAAACCATGCAAGATCTACCTCCTGATGAATTTCAATAAAGTATCATTTTTTGTGAATGGCAACTGCAATCATATGAAGTCAGCTATATTTTCAGTCAACATATCCTATGAATGGATGAAGAATATTTCACATGAAACAAGATTTCAAACAGTTGCATATGGCCGCAGTCCAGTCCTGATGCACCTAGAGACATTGGATCAGATGATCTGTAAACGTATAAACCAACATAACAAGGTTCTCATATAATTTGATCATATCTGCTACCTCAGTGTCACTGTAGACATTCATACCATACATTTATCAACAATATACTGAATCCCTGAGTGGGCCCACAAGCGGGCGAGCGGTAAAGACACTGGTAGTTCGGTCCGAGGTTCGAATCCCGCAAACGGGCTGGCTGCATGGGCGTTTTCGTGGTTTTCCCCATGCGTAACGTGTATACGAGCCAGTTTCCCTTAGAAAGTCCTCCATGAAGGCATCCCTCCCTTTAGGCAGATAGCCTTCGTGTGCTTTGCCATAATTGAATAATCCACTGATTCCCTGAGTGACACATGCTTATCAGTGTTATGTGGTTTGTGGTTTTTGCATAATGAAACACATGATTACATGGTTTGTGTTATTTGCATGATCAAATTTCAGCTCTTTTGTATAAGATTGGTCTCATATAGAATATCCACATTTTGTGGAATCTATGTAGCCACCAAAAATTCACTAGATCTCTCATTTCTAGATATCTTTCTATGTAGAAGACTGATGGATTTGTACACACTTATCATAGGAAGAAACTTAGTTGTACATCTTCATGATGAATTATTCAATTTGTAATTACCAGGCTGCCTGGATCAGGTTCTATCACTCATTCCATGGAACACACAAGGAAGTTTCAGTATGCATTATGATCACTTTGAGCACCTTTTGTAAGCGTAAAATATCAGTGTAAGCGTAAAATATCATCAATTTCCAGTAAAAATTTTTTCCCTGCTCTGGAAATGATTTCATACTTTTTCTCCGCATTTTCTTTCAAAATTATGGATTGTAAAATTATTGTTTTTGGATCCCTTTTTATATATACAGTACAAAGTCTTTAATCCGGACTCGTAGGGACTTCGGCGATTCCGGATTAAAAGTTTTTCTGGATTATAGATCATCGATTTAAATCTGGTAAGATGTCATGCAGAAATTATAAAATTAAAAATATGAAACCGTAAGTATGAAATAAGAAGCAATTATGATCTAAAGGGTATCAAAATTTACAAAAAGAAAGCTTAATATTTATTTGTTTACTTTATTAAACCTTTCTTTCAACGAGCGCATGCGTAAAACATACATTACGCATAGTCAAAATTAGAAACTTGCAACCAGGAAACTATTTGATGTGTATTCGTGATATTTATAATGACGAGGAAATTGATTTAAGTCATATCGGACTACATCAAGATGAAATACTACATTTGATAAGGAATTATAAGCCGAATAAAATAAAAACATCTGCCCTGAAGATAAGGATAGTGCTGACAAATCAACTTCCAGTTCATTGCGTGCTGCGACGTCCACCTCCCCCTTCCACAGAGCAGCGAGAAATTGATAAACAGATTTCGGAATGGTCAGAGAAACAAATCACCTCTCTGTCACTTTCTTCATGCCTTTATCCATTTTTTGCAGCAATTCCATTTTTTGTTTAATGGACATCGAAACAAGCTTTCGCTTTGTAGATCCTTTGGTAGCTCCAGAATTGGAAACTCTTTTTGACATAATCGAAAGTTCAAACTTACTTTTTATGAAATTGCTCTAACAGTCTGCAAAAAATAATGAGCCGGATCCAGTTAGAAGATTGAGGAACAATGCAATCTGCAACATTAACTGAAATAGATAATTTTAGCGTAGCTTATAACGTCCATTATACATTAAATGCACATGCGTAAACGTATTATGCGCATGCGTAAATGTATTATGCGCTTACGCATGTGCAGAAAGTTTGTAGCTTTGAGGTCCGGATTATAGATCATTTCAGATTATGGACATCCGGATTAAAGACTTTGTACTGTACTTTGGCTGAAGAATCTTGCTGTGTAGACTTTGTATGATCCTTATGGGATACACTCTGTTAGTGTATTAATTAAAAAAATGATGAATAAAATGCTTTATAAAAACACATATCGGAATCTAAAGATTTGTATTCAGTAATGTAGTGTTTCATCTGGATGTACTCCGATATGATTTAAATCAATTTCCTAATCATTATAAATATCACAAATACACATCAAATAGTTTTCTGGTTGCAATTTTCTAATTTCGACTATGTGTAATGATATGCGCATGCGCGCGTTGAAAGAAATGTTTAATAAAGAAAACAAATAAATATTAAGCTCTTTTTTTTTTTTTTTTTTTTTTGTAAATTTTGATACCCTTTAGATCGTAATTGCTGTTTATTTCATAAATTATGGTTTCATATTTTTAATTTTATAATTTCTGCATGACATCTTACCAGATTTAAACTGATGATCTATAATCCAGAAAAACTGATAATCCGGAATCGAAGTCCCGAAGAGTCCGAAGTTCTATATATATATCAACTATTGGTTTGGTGTCTAAAGCCATCAATACTGATAATTCACTCTGGTAACTGCTATTCTATCCCTGATAGTTGATATTTTCGAGATTTTTCTTGTGCATAATATAAATAAAAGTTTTGCTTAGAAATACAATGACATCCTTTCCCATGAGCAGAGAGCTAGCAAATAATGGGAGATTGCTCCAATCAGTGAATCTGTTTAGCAATACATATAAATATTTATCTTAATTTATAACAAGAAAATTTTGTGTCCAAATCAGTAGTAATGCTTCTATAGATTCATCTGTTTATCTACTTAATATGTGTATTACATCTAAATGATTTACAGAATGCTTCAAACATGAAAACAGAATTTCTATTAATGTTTGGCAAATAAATTAAGGGATAAGAAAGCATATATTAAATCAGCTAGTTGTCCTAACTGTTGTTGTAGATATGCATCATTTCAAACTGGATTTTTAATATAACTTTTAGTTATATTAAAAATCCAGTTGTTTTTAATATAACTTTTAGTTATATTAAAATTTTTTGCTTAAAAATGTTTAAATATATTTAGACATATTTAAATATGATAATAATAAAATAAAATTAATACTTTTTGCTTAGGAAACAAATTTGAACATGTATAATATTTTTAATTGTGAACTGTTAAGAAATTTTTCTTTTTGTTCTGGATTTTTTTATGCAAGTCAATAAATAAAATAATTATAGTAATAATAAGCTTATGAATTATGTAAGTCATAGTAAGGTCTCTGAATAATTATCTATAGGTGTCTTAGTAAAATATATCAGTTGTCACTGTCTAGTGATGAAATATTAAAATGCATCATATTTAAAAAAAAATTTAAAAGATTTGAATCATTTTATTGTTTTTGTCATTTGAATCTTCTGAATATATTCTAAAAGCCATTAATTTTTTAATTCACAGTTCATGAAAGACTAAATTTAATAGAATCATTCATTTAAAAGAACAGTTATATTAAATATCTTTCATTTAAAAGAACAGTTATATTAAATATCATTCATTTAAAAGAACAGTTATATTAAATATCATTCATTCATTTAAAAAAGAATAGTTGAAATTTCAGTGGTATTTCAAACAATGTTTATTTCCTTTATGAACTCAAAATAAGCAAATTTGTCTTTTTTCTAGTTTTCTAGAAAGACTTTTAATGGTCCATGTGTAGTCATTATCTATTGTAAATTCTGAATTAATCATCCCCTCTTCACCATTGCTTTTATTAAAAAACATTCTGCAAGGGGACTGAATTGTTATTCAGAGTCCCCCACCCAAGTTTGAAAAAATGAGCCTTCAAGATTCAAGAGTTTTAATTATATATTTCATTTACTAAATTTTGTTTGTTTTTTCTTAATTAATATATGTGTATTTTTAAAAGCTGTAGTCTCTAATTTAATGCAGATTTTGATTTTAAAACATTTGATATCAAATAAAAAATGTTCATATTTAAATTGGTAGCTAATTTTTGAAATATTTTAAATTTAATATGAAGATTATGCAATTATAAATTGCATTACCAGTAAGAAAATAACTTTCTCAATTTGTCACTTTAAAATTTTTCACTAAGAAATAATTTACATTAAATGTAGATTTTTAATTTTACTTTAATTTGCTTAAAATAAACAGTAAAAGTTTATCTTCTTGTTTAAAATAATAATTTTTTAAATAATTCAGATTATTGCATTTAAAATATGTATGTAAAAGTACTGGATTTATGCATCTAGTGTTATGCACTGCTTTATGTTCTCTCTTTTTTTTTTAAGGATACAAAAGCTGTAGATTTTTCTCTGAATCCTGTATATGAGCCTGGTTTTAGGTTCTATGATAAAAGCCTTCTTGAACAAGTAAGAAATGGGGACCAACATGTTCATGAATTTTTCCGAATTTTGGCACTGTGTCACACCGTAATGTGTGATGAAAAAGATGGTAAACTTTCGTTCTTGTTCTGATAAAATATGATTGTTTTTAAGAGCTAGGCAGCATGTATTAACCGTTTTTATTTATGACTTTAGGTCGTTTAGAATATCAAGCTCAGTCACCTGATGAAGCCGCTTTGACATCTGCAGCCAGGAATTTTGGCTTTGTCTTCAGGGTAATTGATTGAACATATATATAAATTTTCTGTATTATAATGAATCAGTTGCATAGATTTGTACTTCATTCACATAGATTTGGGATTATCTTGTAATTACTTTTAATTCCTTTGTTCTGTGGCTCAATTCTAAGATTTAGTCTCTATTTAATTCATTTCAAAGATTTTCTTTTAACTGTAATAGATATGTGTTATGTATCTTGTGTAATGCTTTATAGCTCTATTGTCATGCAACTCATCATATGCTTTTTAGAAAAATTATACAGTTTCATTGAAAGTGGTAAATTCAAACCTGCAATCATTTTTATGTAGTATATGAAAGTCATGTTATATCATGAAAGTATGTTGTCATTATGTTTTATGAAAGTAGTAAATTCAAAGCCTTGCTTTGTCAGTATATTATGAGGGTAGTTTGATATTTTTATATGTACTTAATAGCATGTATTGTGAAACATACTATCAATTTGTTTTAAAAAGGAGTCCGTCTTAATGGTATGTAAAGATATTATCATCAGTACTTATGTATAGGTAATCCTTAATAAGTTCATAGAAACTGAGCAAAGATTATTTCCATTGGCTGAACATGTGCTGATTGAACATTTATTGGGAATTATGGCTGAACCCATCAGTTATTAAACTATTTGATCACCAAGAACATTGCCCTTTCGCACAAGGAAAGAAACGCTCACAAAGAGCATTGTCCATCTCGGGCAACTGATATTATACCTTCAAAAAGAGAGGAAGAAACTTCACATACAGTCAAGTCTTGCATTGGAGTCAAATCTACATCTTAGAAATTGACCAAAAGTGTAATATTTTGTATCAGTTGGTGCTCACTAGTGGCTGGTTATACCATTTTGATTTGGTAAATTCTAGCAAACAAAGGCTAGCTACATTGGTTGGCTACATGGGTAGGCTAACTATATCAGGGTAGAGGTCATAGGTTCCACCATATGTGTTGTTTAAAATATAGATACTGTCAAACTCCTCATCGGAGACATTTCTACCTGAGTAAATATTCCTTAAGTGTTCCTGCTATAACTAATAACCAAAGTATGGAAAGTGTTGAATTTAATTTCTAAAGATAAAATAACAACTTCATTTATGTAATCTTGGAATTTGCCCTTCATGACTGAAATTTAAAATTCATCAAAATGAAAAAAAAGGTAATGCAAGGGCATTATTGGAAGTAACAGAAAAAATAAATTATTCATAAAGTGTAAATGATCCCACGAATGGGCTGGCTGCATGGGCGTTTTCGTGGTTTTCCCCATGTGTAACGTCTATACGAGCCAGTTTCCTTTAGAAAGTCCTCCACGAAGGCATCCCTCCCTTTAGGCAGATAGCCCTTGTGTGCTTTTCCATAACAGAATAATCCAATCCTAATAATAATCCATCCGCAAAGTGTAAATACTTAGAAAAACGTAATAACCTAGATAATGTAAAAATGGATTATTTCCAGCTACTTTATCTGTAGCATTCTGTTGTGTTTTGCAGTATGTTTAGCAATCAGTATATGATATTCAAATCAAAGGGTAACAGTCTTATTTTCTGTGTAATTAGATTGAAATAAATTACTGTGATTTTGATATTTCTCAAGTGAAGTAATATCAATGTCAGTTTTTATTGGGGGGGATTGATTTTATACAACTATTTTTTACCTTCTGAATCATGTTTTGCTGCTTAATATCTATTAATTTTTCACTTTGCAATGTATACTTTTTCTTCAGCATATGTAATTGAAAAGTAATCATCAATATGAAAAATAAGGTGTAAGCACTCGATCGCTGTTGCTCCCCTTCACTCCCTTGTAAATTTGATTACTCAGATTTCCATTTTTCATATTATATTTGTTTCATTTAGATGTGGATATAGATGAACTTGTTTTCAGAGTTTAAAATATTTGTTTTACAGTCTCGTACTCCTACTAGCATAACAATAGAAGTAATGGGAAATATTGAAACTTATGACCTTCTAGCCATCTTTGATTTTAATAACGTCCGCAAACGCATGTCTGTAAGTAATTCTACTTTTATTTCTTTATACTACCTTTTTATTTAGAATTTCTTCTTTTTGATTTATTGAATAAAAATGACATTTTGATAGGTGATAATTAGAAAAAATGGGAAAATCAAATTATACTCCAAAGGTGCTGATTCTGTGATATTTGAGAGACTTAGCCCTAGTTCCACTGATCTAAAATTGAAAACTATAGACCAATTAAATGTAAGTATGACATTTATTTATTTATTTATTTATTCCAAACATTAAAAAATAATTTAGAATGTCTTTCTTGGAATGCTTTAAAAGTCTGAGTGTATTCTCATAATCATTTACACTGGTGTTAAAAACTTGGAGTATTTTGGCAATTTTCTCAAAGTACTAAATGAAATAGACAAATCATGCTTCTAAACAAACAAACAAAAAATGCAGGTCTTTGAGAATGAATCTTCACGTGCACATGTATGACTGTGCAATCATACATGTGCATGTGAAGTATTTAGGGTAAGAGTCGTTAAAAGCACATGTGGCATTTTCCATTGTTTATTCACTTACACTCCTTGGTCATTTACAAGGATGGGTTTATTCCCCCAGTATTGGGTGAAATTTAAAGCATACAGGTTAAAATGGGTAAACTGTGATTAAATGGATTCTATCTGCATTCTGCGCTTTGTAATGCTATACTAACTTCCAGAAAGTTGTCCTATGAAATACCCTAGGTTAGAGCCTATAAGCACTAGAGCCTTCGTTGCAAACTGCATTAATCTGAATCTACATTTGGGTGTAGATTGATTGGAAAAGTCATTAGGAGCCTGAAAGAAGAGCAGTCTCAAGTGTGGATTGCTAGAGATTTGAATATAATGATCGTAATCATGGGCAAGTTATGGAAACAGTTTAAGGATACTGAATCATAAAAAGAAAGGATGGGCAAGATTATCCAAAAGCCGTGGAACCAAAGATCTCTATTTGTCCATTTCTAATGATGCATAAGAGGAGTGCAAGTGCTTTTCAACTCACTTTCAGCTTTTATCTTATAAGAAGGCAGCTTTAAATGGCTTTTGCTATCAGAAGGCACACAAGATAGAGTATTTGAAAGAAGACATTCTCTTAACATTCTGCTCATTTTTGTGCATACGAAAGCCTGTTTACCATGGTGCAGAGAATATTAAATTTGGATTGAGTATGAGTAGTGAGCCATTCACTTCAGAGCTGAATCCCAGTTCACCCAAATCATTAGTTTTTGATGCAGCTTTAGCTGGAGAGAATTAAGAACCTCCCCATCATATGTCACATGTATTCTTACTGTCTTCTCAGAGCTGAGAGAATAAGACCGAGCATAGGTAGTTAATCTTGGATTCAGTTCAAAATGCAAGCCAAGCATTCACTAAAGTGAAATCAACTTTTGTTTTGCTATATGTCAGTTTATGGGAATCATTCATTTACCATGTGTTGATACAAAAAATTTTCTTATTTTCCCTCGCACATATAAATTGTCCTGCACATAACTAGAACATAAACTTTCATTTTTTCCTTTTCATTTGTCACATGATATGTGTTGTATTTTTGTTTTGAAAAAATTAACTTTTTACTAGGAAGTTAAAATCCACTCCTTTTTGAAACACCCGCATAGAATTTTTAATCAGTCTGTGATTAAAAGCTCTTCAGTCATTATTAGGTTTATTAGATGTTGAGCTAACATACTTAATACATAATTTATTTTACTATTGTATTCAGTAAACACATTTTATTAAATTCCCATACTTTCAAAGCATTATCCTAGTTGTAAAAAATTGAGAAATTAATTAACGATGAAGCATTTAAAATGTTCTGATTTTTTTTAAATTGATATTTTTGATCATTAAATTTTATTTTCAATATAAAATTCTTCATTGAAAGATATTTTAGTTTTTCTTTTATGTGTAATTATTTTATTATATTTATACATTCTTTACATGTTGTTAAATTTAATCCTTTACATTTAATTCTTTACATGTTTTTTAATTTAAGTTCTGTCAGCATGCATCTTATGTTTACATGTGTTTAAATTTAATCCTTTTTTTTATCAGAAATTTGCAGGGGAAGGCTTGAGAACTCTGTGTTTGGCAGCTAAAGACTTGGATGAGAATGTATTTAATACATGGAATGAAAAATATCATGAAGCTTCGTAAGTATACTTTCTCTTTTACATGTAATGTAGTATTTTATATGATTATTTTATTATAAATCAACAATAATAAGTTACAAATAATACACAATTTCAGTAATGTCATGTTCGGAGTAATGATTTATCCATTAAAAAATTAATGTAAATTATTTATCTAAAAGAAAACAGTATTTGGATCTTTTTAACACCTCAGAGCAAGTTAGCATGTCTAATTAGATCGTAGAAAAATAAAATCTGTAGAACACCTAGTAAATTAACTGATGAAGATGAGAAATAATCTTAAAGCAGCAATTATCACCTGCAAATCTGACAGGTGTTGCCACTTTGTAAAACATAAAATGTTTCTCTCATATATATCTGGTTTATATAAATTTAATCCTTTTTACTGATATTTTTATAATTAATAACTAGCTGATAATTTTATGAACATTTTGCAACTGTTATGTATTTAATAAAAGATTCTTCTGATGTCATAAGCTATGTAGCTGGTACAGAAACCTGTTTTGCACTTTTTAATTTTTTAAGATTTTTTAATGATAAACTTTTCTTGAAGGTTTCAGATTAGAATTTGAAGCTTTTAGATCACAGTTTTTAGTTTTAAATATATAATCAATAAAAGTGTCCTTTGATAAATAAAGTAGAAATGCGGGTTAAACATATTTTTTTAAAGAAAACATTTATGTTATATCGCAGTATACACTTGTTTAATCTTTAAGAGACGGAGTTTGGAAAGGTTTCGCTTAAAAAGACGGGAAATCCAAATGCATTTCCACCCCCTTTTAGCTGCCATTGTAAACTACTACTCTTTTGCAACTTTTCCTGTAGGTCGCCTTTATTAATTTTCAGATAAGGGACTAGGGAATAATATAAAAGAATTTGTTGAATTTGTTCTCTTTTCTGCTGTTTCTTTTCCCTAAATTAGGGAAACATATTATGATGAGATTTCGTAGCTAAATAATTGTGGTATGTTGGAATATTAATTTTTGACATTGCGTCATAATGAAAATAAGCCTTAGCGGCAAATGCACGCCTATAATCAGTTCATAGTTTATTCCATTTTTATTTGTTTCCAAACTGAATTTAGTTTAGAATTACATGTACTAATAACATTTTTAATTTATACTCGAAAATGATGTTTAACTATTTGTTTCTCGTATAAATCGGCAGTTCGCTTTTGTTTGTTTCCAAGCATTGTGTAACAGCTTATATTTATATATCAAACAAATCCCATTGAATTTTTCTTATATTAGTTTAGTTTACCTTTTTCATTAGTATTCTTTCTTATTCAGTTTAATTTATTGATTCTCCCCCCCATTGTATCGTAAGTTATTTCATCTTTCAACTACATTATTGTTCATTGTTCTTTCTTGCAGTTTTGTGATAAAAGCTTTTTTTTATCCTTTAGCATTTTTTAAAATTATTTTCCTTTACTTTAAAAACAGATTTTATTGATTATATTTTCACTGCATTTTGCATGTTTCAAACAGCAATATTAAATACAAAAATTACAATAAAAAGGGGAAATATATAAAGAAAAAAATGCATTTTTAATGACACTGAAAAGTTGGTGAAATTAATACTAAGGTCAGATTGCTAATATTTTACTGCTGAGGGAAACGAAAGGGAATTTACGAAACCCCACAGTTGGGAGGCGCGAAGGTCATCTCACCTAAGTGGCAAGGGAGGTTATTCAGACAATGACTATCTCTGCACCCTGAAGGATGGGGGGAGGGGAATTCACTGGCTGATATCTCGGCCACAGCCGTCTTTTTGAGACACTGCAGCTCTGGCAGATATTTAGGCCACCCGTCTTTTAAAAGTTACAGCCATACACTTGGTGCAATAAGTTTGCAAATTTTGCATTCCACTAGAAAAGCTCCTAGCTCTATTTCATAATATGTATTGATAGCAGAAATGAGAAAAGTCATTCAGAGACAAGTGTGATAATAAAGTGAATAAAAATAATTTTAAAGCATAATTTATTGAGTTTTACATTGCAATAGTTGATTTGTTAAGAGGTATGTTTTGTAGAAAGGATTTTGTAGAAGACCTCTGTACAAAACATTTGTATGGTAGAGTTGATTTGTAGAGAGAGAGGTCTTGGTAGAAAAACTCCACCCTTCTTCAATTACTCAAAGCTTTTTTCCCTCTTTCAATTTTACTTTAAATGGTATATTATATTAATATTTTGTAATAAATTTTTACTTTTTAAAATTTTTTTAAATGGACAGTGATTTTATAGGAATTAAAAAATTATACCCATAACATTCCCAGTCATTTCTATATTTATAGGATATTTTGGAATTTATTGGTATTGAATTTTACTTTTTTAGAGGTCTTTGTGTAAAATAGGTTCTGAATTTCTTAACTTTTGTCTCTCTTTATATATATATAGATATATATATACATAGATGTAGAATTTCTCCATACTGATGTACAGTGCAGTCCGGACTTGTCGAGACTTCGGCGATTCCAGATTAGGGGTTTTTCTAGATTATAGATCATCAGTTTAAATCTGGTAAGATGGTATGCAGAAATTATAAAATAAAAAATATGAAACCGTAATTTATGAAATACAGAGCAATTATGATGTTAAGGGTATCAAAATTTACCAAAAAAAAAAAAAAAAAAGCTTAATATTAATTTGTTTACTTTATTAAACATTTTTTTCAATGTAAGTTGTTTAAGTTGCTTCGTTTTATGTGCTAATACTTTCTCTTTAATTCTATAAAGAGACATAATTTCTTGTTCAGTTACAAAGTTCCGCTCTTCATGCCTTTATCCATTTTTTGCAGCAATTCTACTTTTTTTTTATGGACATTGAAACATGCTTTCGCTTTGTAGATCCTTTGGCAGCTCCAGAATCTGGCCGGACTCTTTTTGACATAATCGAAAGTTCAAGCTTACTTTTTATAAAATTGCTCTGTCTGCAAAAAAATAATAAGTCGAATCCAATTAGAAGATTGAGGAACAACGCAATCTGCAACATTAACTGAAAAAGATAATATTAGCCTAGCTTATACCATCCGTTATGTATTAAATGTGCATGCATATACGCTACGCATGCGCAGAAAGTTTGTAGCTTTGAGGTCCGGATTATGGACGTCTGGATTAAAGACTTTGTACTGTAGAAGGTATTGAGTGACAACTTCAAAAATGATGTCGATTACACACACATAAAAGCAGATTTAGGGTTTTAGTAAGGTACAAACAGTGCCTAATGAAGCGCATTCATAAAATGCTTCGCATGTTGTATGTCTGGAATATGTTCAGTTGCATTAAACTATTTCTTTAGCCTTATTTACAGGATTATGCATTATTTTCATTAATTTGAAATATTTTATAGAATCGCAATGGAACATAGAGAAGAAAGAATGAATGCTCTGTATGAGGACCTTGAGCAAAATTTAACACTTGTTGGAGCAACAGCAATAGAAGATAAACTTCAAGATGGTGTTCCCCAAACAATAGCGAATTTGGGCATTGCTGGAATTAAAGTTTGGGTTTTGACTGGTGACAAGCAAGGTATCTTCAAGTCTTGTGCTTAAATAAATAGTGACAAAAGTATTGTATATCGAATTTAAAGAAAAGTATATTACAACTTAGTTTCTGATCCTGGAAACTGATTTTTGTGGGTTTAATTGCTTTTTTGATTTGCTTGCCTATCATTAGCATATTCATTTACATTTAAAATATCACTTTCTTCCTTTCTCCTATTATTTAGATGGAAAAGTAATTGTTGTGAAGGAAAAACTATTTCTTTATATTTCCTCTCCTCTTTGAAGAAGGGAGTAACTCTGTAAATAATAGTACAAGTTTTTTAATGAAAGGACTTCATTTTAAGTTTTTAAGAATTTCATTAATTAACAAGTAATATTTAATTAATTTATACATTAATTCATTTTTCAAAATTTTAATTTTTCATTATTTCTCATAGCAAGAAATTCAAATAAATCAGAAGTGATTCCCAATAAACAAGGTTATTTATAATTACAAAAAAAAAAATATTTACAATAAATTTTGGGGGTACTTCCTTATTATTACAACTGTCATATTATAAATGCCATTAGTATTATCAATAAATGGTTAATGCAAATTATACTCCAATGATGGGGTGCCCCAACAATGATTATTTACTCGTGATGAGAGAGCTCCAAACAAATATTTGTTATCATTACTCCTCTCCCGCACACACATAAATGTTAACAATTCACAGTCACTCATAATTCTCTCATTGTGAGACCTTCTTATGTTCTTTCTTTTTTGAAAAAGTGATAAAAAGAGTGTTAAAAAGAAGGACTTGGTGTTCTTTTTTGGAAAATGTGTTAAAAATATTTGATTTACTGGGCAATAAAGATGCTATGCAAAATAGCCATTAAATAAAACTACATATCAATGTAAGCGTTTGCATGTATTATGTAAAAAGTTGCAAAAGATTAAAAGATACAGATTTTGATCACTGATTCAATAAGGTGTTTATAATAGTGCAACAGTTTTACTCTTCACTAGAGGAACTGATGTCAAGTTATGAGGGGAGAAACTCAGCTTTTACTAAAACTGTTGAAAAGAAGAGTTTGATGAGATATGTTATCTATTTCAACAACCAAATTAAGTAAACAGAATGTTCTGAAAAAAATGTGGGTATAAAAGAAAATCTGTTCATAAGGTGGAAAGACAAATCTGGCAGGGTTTTTGCACAGAACTGTGTATTTGGCTGTTTATGTTGAGAAACAAGTGAATTCTTTCTTGCTAGGTTTTCAAGTAACAAGCTCTCAGTTCCAAGGCTACTATATTTTATGGTAAGAATTCTTAACTGCTCAAGAGGGATCGATAATTTATTCAGACTGCTGTTGAGCATATAAAATAGTGTTTGGAAAAAAAGGTTAGAGCATTTTACTGTGAATTATCAATTTCATTCTATTGATCCAGTAACAGCACATGCACAGAAGTTGAAAGATTATGGTGTTGCATTTGCTAAGTGGTGGAATCAAACTGAATGGGGCAAAGCTGCAATAAATAATAAGGATATATATATTGTTGCGTGCCTATGGGTTCGTTACGAAATGAACACACAAGTCCAAAGAAAAATGAACAAAAATTTATTATTATCACAACAAATATGCTTAAATTTCCTAAAATATTCGTCCAGTATTACAATATCTCACAGTAGTTATCTTTTAACTACTCAAACGTTCAATAGAACTTAATTCAAAACAGCTAAAGAAAGCTAATCCGCGAATTCGCTACAATCAACAAGAGCAGTTTTCTAAACAACAACAAACTAAGTAACTACTACGAACTGAGATGTTTTCCTCCTTTTATAAGATTTTAAAATCACGTGCTCGAGAATTTTCTAGTACTTTCTCAAAATTAAAAAAAATTTAAAAAAAAAATATTTATTTATTAAATGTTACATGCACGCGCTCTTTGCAATTTTCCGGTCTAGCTTTCTTTTAATATTCATCACACGCTGCACTGTGCGGAAAATAAAACCATTTAATTAAAAAATTCAACTAACATAAGCTATTTAAATACCAAATCCATAACACTGCCCCCTTCCCAAGACTGCACGTCCTGGGCAGTACAATCCCTGGACAGGAAGCTAAACTTACAACTGTGGCATAAATGCAATAATAAGCATTACATTACAATAATAAACAACATGAACAATAAATGCAATAACATAAACAAATCAAATGATGTCAAATACAAATCAAATACTAAATACACATTTAGAAACGAAAAGGACCATGCTCTTACACTATTTACATTACATACTATGGCCATAGTAATAAGCTAACCTGTCGCAATGAATGACTTTAGGCTTAGAGTTCGAAGACTTTAGGACCGTGTACGGACCATCCGAAGGTGACTGTAATTTTGGATAAAGTCCTTTCCGTCGAGTCGGATTCCGCAACCACACCTTGTCTCCTTTGTTGGATCTATGTCCAGTAGCTCTCGTGTCATGTTTCGTCTTTGGTTTCTTCGTCGCCAAGTTGACTCGCTTTCCTGGAGAATGGTGCATCACTTCAAACCGGGCCTGGACTTCTTGGATGTATTCCTCAGGCGATGAAGGCGCATCCATAGGGCGACCAAACAGGCGGTCACAAGGCAGACGAAGGTCTCGACCGAAGAGCATCTGGGATGGAGAATAGCTGCTTCCTGAGCTGATTTCAGCAGCTTCCTGAGCTGGGTCTTTCGGACAAGGCGTCGGCATTTCCAGGTGAGGATCCCTTCTGAGGATGGATAGTCATGTCATCAGATGCTGAAAGCAGTTTGTTGTTTTTGAAGTCTAAGGAAAAATTGTATTTCCTTAAAAAGTCCAATCCGAGTATGCATGGATCTGTAATATCCGCCACATATGCCGTGTGATGGTAGGCGGCACTTCCAAACGTGATGTTTACGTTTAACTTCCCAGCTTATGTCGATCTTATCACCAGACGCAGTCTGAAGGGTAACACAGGATGGCGTCCAAATAAGTTTATCTTTAAAACTGTTCAGCTAAATCTTTCCTAATGATGGTAACATTAGCTCCTGTGTCAATGATCATATTGCAAGGAACTCCATCGATATTCCCATTGATGGACAGTCCATTTAATGTAAAAATCTGTTGCCACTCACTGTATAAAATCTTGAGCGCTTTAAAACAAGGTTTTTCATTATCTGGCAACCTCCGTTCCTCGATATGGTCATTAATTTGTTTCTGCGTCGTTGCTGAGAAATGGTTTCAATTTCCTTACCCTGGGATGTTTTGTAGTTCTTTTGTACGTGGTCTTCAGCTCCACAGTTCCAGCACTTTGTTTCTTGTCACTCCTTTTCGTCCTATGGGATTTAATTGTCCTGTTCAATTCATTCTGTCTTATTTTCCGTGCTCTGGGGTGTTCTGCAGTTCCTTGTTTTCGTTTCCTGTGGCCTTCAACTCCGCAGTTCCAGCACTTTAGAATTAGGTTTCTTTTCACTTCTGTTCCGTCTCAAGCCACTGACTTGTCTGGTAAAATCATCTGCTTTATATTCCGTACCCTGGGGTGTTCTGCAATTCCGTCTTAGGTGACCTTCACTACCACATCTCCAACACCTTAGAGCCACTTTGTTCTCGCTCCTACTCCGTATCAAAGCGTCGACTTGTCTGGCTAAATCATCTAAACGAGCCATCAGTTGATCCACTGGCTCATGGACTCGCACAGCTCTAACTGGGTAGCGATCTCTACGAGTTGCTTGCTGGGCTGCCTCGAACTTCATGGCGTACAACAGAGCGCTTTTCAAATCTTTTAACATCCACCATTCGCAGAGCTTTCTGTATTTCAGGGTCCCGGATGCCAACGATGAAATATTGCAGGACAGGATTTCCCTTGTTTCTGTCGGGCACTCCGAAAAGGCGTGATGTGGACAGCCTTTCAACATCCGTGGCGAGCTCCTGAAGTGTTTCGGTGGGCTTCTGTTGACGGGATTTTAATTGAAGCCTGCTGTAGTCTTTTAAACACTTTCTCGCCAAAGCGCAGCTCCAATGCGCCGGATAGAGCTTCGAAATCTAATCCTTTGGTTTTTCGGGAAGCGTCTGCAGGATATCCGCTGCGTCTGCTCTCAGAGAAGCGGCGAGATGACAGGCCTTAGCTTGGGAATCCCATCCATTCGCATCCGCCACGATAGAAAGAAAATTGTGTTTTATACACTTGCCAGGAGGTCTTCCCATCATATGTGGATAGCTTCAGAGAGGGACGAGCAGGCATCGGTAAAATTTAAAAACCATCACTATTGTTCCCTGCCGTCGCTACAAATTTCTTTAAAATATCCACTTCTTTGGCTACTGCAGAAACCCTATCATCAATCTGTTGTTCGATTTGGTGTTGGATGGCACAAACTCTTTCTTCAATTAGTTCCTCCACAGCAGAAACTCCCCCTTCTATATGTTCTTTTACAGAAGAAACTCTTTCTTCTATTTCTTCTTTCACTGAAGAAACTCTTTCTTCAATTTGATCTTTTACGGAAGAAACCTTTTCTTCAATTTGTCCAACTTTATTTTCAACTGTGTCAATTCTGCCTTCCATAGCTTCAAATTTATTTTCTATTATGCAGGTAATTTCTCTTTTCATTTCTTCTTGACCAGCTTCAATCTTTTCTTGACCAGCTTGAACGGCTTTCGTTTCGTCCTTAACGGATTCCTGGTCTAATTTCATTTCTTCCTTAATGGAGTTGACGGCCCCTTCCATCTTTTTTTGGAAAGCAGTAAATGCAGTCATTATTTGCCTGAATTGTGCTTCCATCGCTCTTGTAATTGGCATTCAAAACCCCACTCCTGACACCAAAAATTGTTGCGTGCGCACGGGTTCGTTACGAAATGAATGCACAAGTCCAAAGAAAAATAAACAAAAATTTATTATTATCACAACAAAAATGCTTAAATTTCCTCAAATTATTCATGCAGTATTACAATATCTCACAGTAGTTATCTTTTAACTACTCAAATGTCAATAGAACGTAATTCAAAACAGCTAAAGAACGCTAATCCGCGAATTCGCTACAATCAACAAGAGCAGTTTTTCCAAACAACAACAAACTAAGCAACTACCATGAAACTGAGATGTTTTCCTCCTTTTATAAGATTTTAAAATCGCGTGCGAGAATTTTCTAGTACTTTCTCAAAATAAAATAAAAAGATATTTATTAAATGTTACATGCACGCGCTCTTGTATTTTCAATTTTCCAGCTTAGCTTTCTTTTAATATTCGCCACGCGCTGCACTGCGGGGGAAATAAAACCATTTAATTAACAATTCAACTAACATAAGCTATTTAAATACGAAATCCGGTACAATATATATATTTTCCTTTGAAACAGGTTAAAAAAGTTAACTTCAAAAAAGCAGTAATTAAAATAAATCATTATATAAAATTTGAAAAATGATTAATTTAATGCTTCAGTGATACAGTTTGTTGCAGTTTTGCTTTAGAAAACATGGTTCATTTTCCTTCAGATTCCTTCAGATTAACTCTCTAATTGGCCAAACTGTGTGTGTATTTATTGGCTTATGCTTAAAACTTCATTTTTATTTTGGACAAGAAGAGTTCTTTAGAAATACATTTTTGCTTAATTGGTACAACACTAGGGATGCTAAACGTGCCTCCAATTTCTATATAAGTTGCTTACATTTTAGAGAGTAAGAGAAGAAGCTTATTGAAGAGACACGAGTTTTCCTGGCAGCAGCAATTGAAAAAGTGATGCATAATAATTGCAGTAGTATTTATGAAATGGGAAAGTGTTTTAATTCTGAGCAGCTATTGGGGGGGGGGGAAATCTTGGTTATTGCAAAGAAATTGCAGATACTTTGAAGGAAATTTAGAAAATTTTAAAAGTTTAATTGAAAATTTGAAAATTATAGATCTTTTATAAATTTGTTGTAACTGAATTTTAATATGTTAAATTTCCATCATATTTTTATATTTTATATCTGTTCAAAGCTGTCAGCGTTAACATTTTTAAATATGCAAACATGATGCATCTTTAAATGTGTCTAGGCAATTAAAGTAGCATTTATATTGAAAGTTAAAGAAATCAAAGTACGAATTGGGAAGATCATTCTGGAATTATAATCAAGAAAATACCTCTTATTCATGGTCTTTTTGAGAGCATGTTCAGGGATGGAACCCCCTTAGCCACATGAAGAGCTAAATAATAAAGCACTAGATATGTTTTCAGAGTTGTCCATTAACCAGTCTCATAGCTCTTTGAAATACATAGGAGCTGTCAACATAAATTTTCAAGGTGTGATAGATTTCATGGGAATAACTTGTTGTATCCAGTTATTAGTTTTTATAATTTTTTTAGCTGTTAGTTTAATTAAGATATTTCTAATATCACGAGTTGCACTGTGTTTCAATATGAAATCTTATGAAATATCTTGTGTGCCACCCAGCAATTTTATTATATTTAGTTTTAAATTGATGAAGTGTAATTGAAACTTCCACATTTTCTCACAAAAGTACTGAAATCACACTGGATATGTATTTAGAAGTTAGCATTCATATTTATTTGCATTTTAAAATTATTTGAAATTTAGCAGTAATGTATGCATGAAAATTAAGTTCTAAAATTATTCCTAGAAGCTATTAAAATAAATTAATATATATTTTTTCAGATGCTCAGAATGTTCTATATGTATTGAGTTTTATTCTTTTATTTAGTGTGAATTAAAACTTTTTTTTTTTTTTTTTTTTTTTTTTTTTTTTTTTTTTTTTTACAGAAACAGCCATCAATATAGGATATTCTTGCCAACTTTTGACTGATGATTTAATAGATATTTTCATTGTCGATGGCATGAACTACAATGAAGTGGAACAGCAACTTAGCAAGTATTTAGATACTGTTCGTAGTCAGTACAGATGTGTTACAGAGAGTCTGATACATCCATATTTGGATGACTTGAATTCTGTGTCTGAAAATGCTGAAGGCAATGGATATGCTTTAATTGTGAATGGCCATAGCTTAGTATGTACCATTGTTACTTTTGTTTTTTACTCTAATATATAAATTAGTTTTTAAACATATTACAAATATTTAAAATATATTGTTTGGTTTTTACGTAACAATAAGCGATATTTAAAATATATTATTGCTTTCTACATTAATAATCAAAAGGTTAGAAGTTTTTAATACTTATAGTTAATTCTGATTACAATTACAGTATCAGAATGAAATGAAAATTCTTCTGGGCCTAAATTGGATTAAGTAACTAGTTTCAATCCAGAGTCTTGCTTTGAGCATATATTTTAGATGATACTAATTATTATTACATTCATCTAACTAGTCATTTAAAATTGCATTACAATTGATGCTGATTCAAATTCACCCTTTCCACCGTACAGAGGAGAGACCTTGCAATTAATTGCTGTAATGAAAATACATTGTGTAGTGAAAAACATGTAAATGCTGTAATGAAAATATGTGTAGCATTTGTTCTCTTGTCAGCTGAAGATTTTTAGTCATAATAATGGAACAGTCATTATAAACTTTATCTGTATTAATTTTACATTCACTACATTTGTTTGATTTGAAATATAGTCTAAAAGTTTTCAAAAGTAATGAGTATACAAAGCGATTTCATAACATATTCTACAAAAATGAAATTTGAATATACTGATAATAAAACTCTAGAATATTTAAATTTGATGACTGGTGCCAGACAAATAAGAAAACTGTTAATCTTGAATCTAGTGATTGATGTTGAAACTAATTATTTTTTTATATCTGTAAAGTAAAGTAAGAATCATTCCTCTCAAGTGCTTTGGTATTAAACCCGTAACGCCGAAAAAAAGTACTTTCTCATTAATTCTGTTCTCCTCGAAATCTATAATTGTCTCCATTCTTTTGCAAGTTTTTGCTACTTAACTGTCTTAAAATGCATAATTCACATAAAGTATTAGTGTATAACATTTTCTTATGCTAGGTACAGCTTACTTTTAGCATAACATTAAACCATATTCTTAGAATTTTTAACACAATTATACAAAGATGCAAGAGAAGAATTACTAAATAAATCACTATTTCTCAAAGTACAAGTTCAAATTCAAACATTAATCTAACTTAAGAGTATATTAAGTATCAATGAAAGCTAAAATGCAGTGAGTTGCTCCATAAATGAAAAAAGGCCATAATAACCCCATTTTAGTTTAACACATTGATGGTGGCACAGATATTCATTGTTCTTTTAGTGTGGCAGCGCTTGAATTAGCTGTCCATTTCGTGAGATGAATAAATCTTCGAAACAAGGCCACGAATAGAGCAGAGAAAGTAACAACATATTGCGATAACTGTAAGGCCAAGCCAGCGATTTGTTTAGCTTGCTTTAAAAAATTGAATAGAAAAAAATCAATAATTGTATTTAACCCCTTCGCGCCGATTGTCACGTATACATGCCAGCAACGAACATACTTATCTACCGGCCGACACGCAGGCGTGCCAGAGCATTGTTGCATTCTCTACCGACTGTCACGTATTTGTGCCAGTCCTTGGAACGTTTTTCAAAACTATAATTTTTCTGCCACAAGATGGCACTGTATGTCCATATGGTTTCAGATACATGTATTTAGACCTTCTACTGGAAATGAGAGAAGCATGACTCACATACACACGTGTTTTTGATTATATAAACAAAAGGGGAACTAAATGTTTCCGAAATGGCGTGAATTTATGACGTCTCTTTAAATCGCACTTTATTCGCACGTGGTAGTTGTTTATTGTAAGTAGAGAATTTTATTTTCGCTAAAGCGTTGAGTATTTCGGTTTGCAGTTCAGTTTTTAGAAAATAATTAGATCTTGCTAGACGTGAATTCTTTCTGTTTTTACCATTGCAATGTCGAAGCGTCGAAAATGTTTAACAGAACATGAAATAGCAGAAATGATGCAAAATAGTTCAGATATTGATTCTGAAATTCTGATATTCTGATATTGATTCTGAAAGATTAACTGAAAGACATTTTCCAAAATTTTGTTCAGAAGAGACTGATAAGAAAATGAGACGACGATGCTTCGTTTGTTCACATTCCCAGGAAAAATCCTCCAAAACGGCAAATGAGTTATTACGAGTGCAAGGAATGTAACGTAGGACTGTGTGTAGATTCCTGTTTTCAAATTTTTCATACAAAAAGAGAATTTTAAGTAAATATATAGTTTTCAGATGTATAATGTTAAAAGTCATAAAATGGGTTAGTAATTAAAATAAAATGTGTAAAATATCATTTAAACAAGAAATAAGGTAATTAAAGTATATATATAAAAATATCTATAAAGCATAAGCCGTTTAAATACTCTATAGAGCATTATTAAACAATACGTTGATACTTCGTAAATTTCATGGATTTAGACTTAATAGCAAAATAGCCCCCGGCCCTGGACAGACACTCGCGTAAGACACTGCCAGCCTCCGCGATAAGCACGCGTTTGCGCTACCCGGCTTGAAGAGGTTAATTTATAAGTTACATTTTAAGTTATTTGTTGTGTATTAAATGTTTGATTTTAATGTTGAAATGTTAATGTATACTGTTAAATAATTAAAATAAAATAAAATTTTGTACTACGTATTTTATATAGAAGCATGCGACAGAGGATGTGTGCACCACCCGTCTACCAATACGGTTAATCGGTATAGCGCCACGTCCAACTTTATCTAGATAACCATACGTGTTCATTGTGCTAATATACTAATATATAAACATACATACAAATTTGGTACTTTATACAGTGGCGTTAAAGCTAATTAATGTTAGACACTGGATAATACTTTGCCATGTTACAAGGTGTATGCAAAAGCATGGCTACGGTAGCATATATACATAATGTGTGTACTCATATGTTGAGTACACTATGATCCTTTGAAGCATTATCATTAGATTACAGAAGACATGTACATACTGAAATATTAGGTGTGCAATGTTTTGCTGGAATAAGTAATTAGTACAGTGAATTAAAAGTTAGACCCTAAATTAGTACTGTGTGGTACAGTGTCTTGCTACTGAATTATTTGTACTGTTTCCTAAGTACATTAACCAATGTACAAAGATATTAAAACACGTATATTAGGTACACAGTAATTAGTGGATACCCAAGTGTTAGGTAAGTGCTACTTTAACATACATTAACAATAAGTACTTAATACAATGCTGAACAGATAATTGGTGCAATTAATTTTAGAGTGGGGCTCTAGTTTGTTCTTTGCGATACGGTGCCGTGTTACAGGATAAAATGTGCAGATGCATAGTTACATTATCATATATACAGAACATAAATTCATATACATATATACAGACGTTTTGTGTACAGCCACATTAGGTACATGATTATTCAGTGCGTAATAGATGTATATTAACTATACAGTGCCAAGATATGTGATAACACTAGTAGATACATGGGTACAATTACATATAAACAAGGACATACACAATTACATATAGACAAAACGTATATACACTTTATATTTGGTACATAATAGTCATTGGTGACATAAACATTTGGTACTTACTTCATATACTTAAACTCTAGATCGATAAAATAATGTTATAACTAGTAATAGGTGCTTATTAATTTCACAATAGGACATTAGGCTGATATTTTGCCTTACTGTGTTACATTACGTAGAAATGTATGCGGGTGCATGGGTACAGCTTCCTATTTACAATGCTATAGTGTTTTCCTATTTACAATGCTTATATCATTCGATTTCATAATCAATAGGTACATGGCACATTTATATACATGAGCAGATGGTACATTGTAGAGTGCCGTTGAGGATAATTGATGCAATTAATTTTATAGTATTTTAAATATAATGCATTTATACGCAATTATAAGGTGCATGCCAGCCCGCGGAACAATCAATTATGACTCATCGGTGGGTCATGGCCGCCCCACAGGACAGACAAGTATGGCCCACCAGTGGGTCAAGCCAGCATCAACATGTTAATAAATTTGCAATAGTTTCATACATACAAATTGTGATAACAAAGTTGGGAGAATTATTTCAGAAATATGACAGTATAAAATATTTGAAAATGCATTAATCGTTGATCTTCATATTAATTTTTCTCTGGTAAAGCACTTCTGATTACTTTTGTGTAACTGTCAGAAATATTTAGAGTAGTTCTTCATTTGTTCTGCTTTCAGTTCTCTCATCACAGAGGCTTGAATGTGTGAAATGCTAGAAAATCTGGCCCTTTTAGTGCCGATTCCAGTTTTGTCTATGTGAAGTCTGATAGGGTAAGATGAGATGAATGCAGAGAGTGGTATAATTTAGTAACCTAGCAGTTATTGTCCGTGTGTATGATGTGTGAGGTCATGTGTTATGTAAAAGAAATCAGGATCCTGGCTCAGCAAATTGTAGTTCCCATTTGGTCTTCCAGTAAGAATTCTTAATGAATTACATATGCCAAGCGCATTTGAAAAGTTAAACAACATTGACTTTACCTTTAGTTTTCATAAACACAACTTTTTCAATTTCTGCAAGGAGGAGCTATTTGCACTACTCCATGCTTTGCTGCTTAACTTCCATATTATACCAAAACCATTATATTTCATCTCCTGTTATGATAGACTATAAAAGAAGGATGTTACTATCTGACGGCACACTGAGTGCCAAGTACAGCAGTATTCATCTTTCACAGAAATATGTAAGCTACTCCTTTCAGTTGCAGCTCTTCTCTGTGCATAAATTTCATTCCCATTGTGGTTGTAAGCAATTTGAAAAAATTTCATACTAATTCTTTGCTTCATTATGGGATGTACTAATAACATGTACTGAAAGCTACAGCATGAACAAACATCTCAGCTAACTTCTACAAGCATGTGCCAACAAATGTTGGAATGTGCTTGTAGAAGTTAGCTGAGATAACAGAAGAGCACATTGTACATATTGTCACAAGTAAGACAGTTTCCTTTATCAAATTAAGGCATGATTCATCCTTCTTTCTCCTCACATCTTATATTTATCACTGTACAACAGTAATTATTATATAGTGAAATGTCCTCTATTATTATATAGTGAAATGTGTAGTAAAAATGCCCTGAGAACTACTGGGTTGGTGCATAACTCCATGCCTTTCTTTATTAGGTTGCTGTTTTTACCATGATATGATTTTATTAGTATAAAATGTGCTACAATACTCTAGAAAATTATACAGTACACAATAACAAGACATTAATATGCTATGTCATAAATCAATAATCACTCGCACATTCACTCAGTCATGTAATCACCATCTCTATCAATGACAGCCTACCAGCATTCAGGTAGGAGTTCGGTGCCTCTGTTGTAGAACTGCTGTGATTTCAAGTTGAAGTCCATTAGTCAGTTGCTGAGAGAAGCTTCATTGTGAAACTCTTCTCCCTGAATGTTTTTTGAGAGACTAGATAAGATAATTATAGGAAAAAGAAATAAATGTGTCGGAAATCTTCATTTTTCTCTACTTGACACTCCATACTGATTAGCCTTGAAAAGGACAAAAATGAGCTGTCAACCACATATAATCTCCTGTTGGCAACAATCAGACCTCAAACTGAAAGCAATATTATTTAAAAAAAAAAAAAAAAAAAAAAAAAGCTTCACAATGCAATGTTGCCAATCCAGTGAAGAACAGCACAGACTTGTGCACTGACACAATATTAAAGCTGTCTAAGAATAAGTGTAATTTGCATTACTGTGATGCTAAGTATATTCATCATCTATGTTTTATTTTCTTTGAACTAAGTAACATACACCTTTTTTTCAGGTTTATGCTTTGCAGCCATCAATGGAGGCTCTTTTCTTAGATGTTGCTTCTTCATGTAAATCTGTAATTTGCTGTCGTGTTACGCCTTTACAAAAAGCTCTGGTTGTGGATTTAGTTAAAAGGCATAAAAATGCTGTTACTTTAGCTATTGGGGATGGTGCTAATGATGTCAGTATGATTAAAAGTAAAAGCAATTTATTACATTTTTTTTTTCCATTTAAAAATGATTATTTTTCTTGTCACCTGATGTGTCTGGTTATTTTATTCTTTTTAAAATTTTCATTACCAACCAAGTTTGCTTATATTTCAGATGTTTAATTTTAGCATATCTGAATATATCAGCATAGATACTTACTTGGTTTTCATTTATCCTTGTCTGTTATGAGTTTACTTTTTAGGGAATTTAATTTTTAATTGAGAAAACTTTTATGTGATATTTTTTGTTTATATGTATAAATTGGGAAACAAGTACAGTCAAAAGTCTCTAATCCGGACTCATCCTTCGGCAATTCCGGATTATCGGTTTTTCCGGATTATAGATCATCAGTTTAAATCTGGTAAGATGGCATGCAGAAATTATAAAATAAAAAATATGAAACTGTAATTTATGAAATAAAGATCAATTATGATCTAAAAGGTATCAAAATTTACAAAAAAAATTAATATTTATTTGTTTACTTTATTAAACCTTTCTTTCAACGAGCGCATGCGTAAAACATACATTACGCATAGTCGAAATTAGAAACTTGCAACCAGAAAACTATTTGATGTGTATTCGTGATATTTATAATGACGAGGAAATTGATTTAAGTCATATCGGACTACATCAAGATGAAATACTACATTTGATAAGGAATTATAAGCCGAATAAAATAAAAACATCTGCCCTGAAGATAAGGATAGTGCTGACAAATCGACTTCCAGTTCATTGCGTGCTGCGACGTCCACCTCCCCCTTCCGCAGAGCAGCGGGAAATTGATAAACAGATTTCGGAATGGTCAGAGAAACAAATCACCTCTCTGTCACTTTCTTCATGCCTTTATCCATTTTTTGCAGCAATTCCATTTTTTGTTTAATGGACATCGAAACAAGCTTTCGCTTTGTAGATCCTTTGGTAGCTCCAGAATTGGAAACTCTTTTTGACATAATCGAAAGTTCAAGCTTACTTTTTATGAAATTGCTCTAACAGTCTGCAAAAAATAATAAGCCGGATCCAGTTAGAAGATTGAGGAACAATGCAATCTGCAACATTAACTGAAATAGATAATTTTAGCCTAGCTTATAACGTCCATTAACATAATGCATGCGTAAACGTATTATGCGCATGCGTAAATGTATTATGCGCTTACGATGTGGCAGAAAGTTTGTAGCTTTGAGGTCCGGATTATAGATCATTTCAGATTATGGACATCCGGATTAAAAGACTTTGACTGTACTTTGGCTGAAGATCTTGCTGTGTAGACTTTGTATGATCCTTATGGGATACACTCTTTATGGTGTATTAATTAAAAAAATGATGAATAAATGCTTTATAAAAACACTATCGGAATCTAAGATTTGTATTCAGTAATGTAGTGTTTCATCTGGATGTACTCCGATATGATTTAAATCAATTTCCTCATCATTATAAATATCACAAATACACATCAAATAGTTTTCTGGTTGCAATTTTCTAATTTCGACTATGCGTAATGATATGCGCATGCGCGCGTTGAAAGAAATGTTTAATAAAGAAAACAAATAAATATTAAGCTTTTTTTTTTTTTTTTTTTTTTTTTTTTGTAAATTTTGATACCCTTTAGATCGTAATTGCTGTTTATTTCATAAATTATGGTTTCATATTTTTAATTTTATAATTTCTGCATGACATCTTACCAGATTTAAACTGATGATCTATAATCCAGAAAAACTGATAATCCGGAATCGAAGTCCCGAAGAGTCCGGATTAAAGACTTTATACTATATTGCATATTATCACACTTGACCATTTATGCATTTACTTTTTTATGATATCTTTATTAAAAAATAAATGTATCATTGGTCAAGTGTGAAGTAGAATGAATACATGTATCTATCTATATATATATCAACTATTGGTTTGGTGTCTAAAGCCATCAATACTGATAATTCACTCTGGTAACTGCTATTCTATCCCTGATAGTTGATATTTTCGAGATTTTTCTTGTGCATAATATAAATAAAAGTTTTGCTTAGAAATACAATGACATCCTTTCCCATGAGCAGAGAGCTAGCAAATAATGGGAGATTGCTCCAATCAGTGAATCTGTTTAGCAATACATATAAATATTTATCTTAATTTATAACAAGAAAATTTTGTGTCCAAATCAGTAGTAATGCTTCTATAGATTCATCTGTTTATCTACTTAATATGTGTATTACATCTAAATGATTTACAGAATGCTTCAAACATGAAACAGAATTTCTATTAATGTTTGGCAAATAAATTAAGGGATAAGAAAGCATATATTAAATCAGCTAGTTGTCCTAACTGTTGTTGTAGATATGCATCATTTCAACTGGATTTTTAATATAACTTTTAGTTATATTAAAAATCCAGTTGTTTTTAATATAACTTTTAGTTATATTAAAATTTTTTGCTTAAAAATGTTTAAATATATTTAGACATATTTAAATATGATAATAATAAAATAAAATTAATACTTTTTGCTTAGGAAACAAATTTGAACATGTATAATATTTTTAATTGTGAACTGTTAAGAAATTTTTCTTTTTGTTCTGGATTTTTTTATGCAAGTCAATAAATAAAATAATTATGGGTGTCCGAATTAACGACTTTTGACTGTAGTGATCATTTAATTCCATAATTTATAACACATTCATATTTGTGCAGATTCCAGTTTTTATTTAACATGTTCATTGCAAAAGCTGAAATGGTGAGCCTATTCACACAAGCCAAGATCCTGTCTGCATTTTTATGCTTTTATATTATTTTTGTAATTTATGATTTAAATATAGATATGACAGATTACTTTTAACTGTAAATAAATTCACACAAATGTACTTGTATTACTTATTTTACTCAGCAACTAATGACCTCCCAGTACATGGTTTTGAGTTTTAAACATTTAGTTAGGTATCTACGTTTTCAGAAACAAATTTATCCATTTCAGTTCCCCAAGTGTATTATTTAGTCCCTTGCTGTACACAAACACCTAAACATTACATGCATTTTGCTTTGGCAATACTCATACTCGATGATTTAAGCAAGGCGATCAAAACAAATTATCTTGTAGCTGGCAGGTAACCTCAGTTTGCTAACTACAAATATTCTCATAGATGGCAGCGAATGTGTTAACAAATAAATCAGTTTTTGCGTAATAAGTATACTGGAAATTAACATGAAACTGATTAACAATAAGCAGTTAACACAAATGAGTGAAATGAAGCTTTTTTGTACTTTAAACAAGTAGTTTAGCAGTTACCGAGATTTTGTTACACTATATGAAATTGTTCTTTATGGTGTGTGACCTTGCTGCAAATCATAAGTTTTTAATAATACAATGTATAAATTTATTTTAAAAAATCATTAAAATTTATAAATATATATATACATAATTTTCAAGATAATGAAGGTGATTGAAACTCGCTGGGCTACCATACATACCACATAAACGAAAATGATGACCCATATTTTTGCAGCTTGCATATATTGGAAATAAGGATCAGGAATGTGATCTAAAATAGAATGCTGCAACTATGATTTTCAATAGAAAAGAACTTGGATTGGTTTTCAGTCGTATTTAGCTTACTAAAATAATTTGATACTGAGAAAGATGTGGAATAAAGCTTCAGTATCTTATAAAGTGTTAATAAAATTATCTTTTTTATCATATTGAATGAGCAAGTGGAAAAAAACTGAGCATTTCAAACATTACCATATACTTTTTTCATAAAAAAATACAATCAAATGTTAAGTAAAAATTTAAGCCACTGATTGTTGTTAACTTCACCAGTTTTATCTATTGTAGATTTTTTTTAACATTTGATCTAATTGGTAGATGAGTTAATTCTGTTATTTACTGTATAAATTTAATTTAGTTTCATGTAGCATGCAGTGATTGGTAGATCAGTTGAGCATGTTAGAGTTTCCCTGTATTTAACCTTTTGGAAATTGTGACATTAAACAGTTCTTTCTTCCCAAATACACACAGTCTGTAGTTAATATACTTGTAATACAAGCATATTCATTTGCACCCACCGGAGTACGTAAATGGAATGTGAGCTGCACTCGTTCATGACCATCAAAGAGTTGAGTAATCTTATTTTTGATGTTCTACAATTAATGTCAGTAGTACAAGAGTATAGTACAAGCATTTATAGACGTAAAAATATTCAGCTCCTTGACTAGGATTCCTATTTGATATTTTATGAACACAAAATTTACATCCAGAAGAAATTACATGTTAAGCTTGATGGGTTGATTTAATTTATTATGAATGTTATTTGTCTAAAGAACATTTTTAAAAGGAAATTGTCTTGCTAGTATCCATGGAAAAATCACGAAGACCCTGCATCCATTCTCTTCATCCAGTGGAAACTCTGAATTCAGGAGACGCTGGTAGTGTTTCATGGCTTTGGCCACTGTGTCAGGGGCTTTTGAAGAAGTGAAGGAAGAGCTCATTGAATGCTAAAAATTATGTAAATGAAAAAAGTATTGAACATCTGACAGTGTTAAAAAATATGAATGTGGGTTTAATTCTCACTAGTATTTGAATATTCGTGAGTAGTAGCGGTTTGCTTGTTTATAATATACATTTCTTTGGTTTGATTGATTTGTTTGTAATAGGTAGCCATTTACTTCCTATTAAAAAAGTGACGACTTTGATAAATCTTTTCAATTATCTACATTTTTTTTTTTTTTTTCCAAAAAGAGATTGAGATTATACATTAGCATGCAAAAGAAGAGTAAATTTCTGATTCTAGTGGTAATTCTACCCCCCCCCCAAAAAAAAAAAAGAAATCGACTGAGAGATATGAAATTTCTACTGCAGATGCACAAAGTAGTACTTAAAACGTGAGGAAGTTTAGTAGCAAACAAACAAAAAAAAGGGGGAACAGGACACATACAGTATGGAACAAATAGAAAAACGTTTTACTGACAGAATGGCATTAAGGAGAAAATAAACCAAAGAGCCTTGGTAA